CGAAAATTCATTAAAGATTTACAAAATATGAAATCGATAATAAAACAAATTCCAAATTTAAAATTTGGGCTTCCAGATGCCCATATCCACAGTAGGATTACGTCATTCGAAATTTGATGGCTCTAGGTACCGTTGTTTTATCACAATACGAGAAACATACATACATTTATGCAGATTCTTCATTATTTAATTTCTTCAAATATAATACAGGGCGATAATATTTGGTGGCAACAGTTTGAAAAACAAAACGGACATTCAGAGTGATTCGACAAAAAAATTGCAAAACAGAAACAATAGTCCCTTTAATAAATAAGAAAATTAATTAAAAAGGCAAAAAATTTCAATTACTGTAATTAAACAGAAACAGACTGATTTATCAAGAGGAACAATCCTGCTTCCATTCAATTAACAATAATTAATAAAAGTGATAATGTTTCGTCTCCTCTGTTTGCAAGAATTACAAGCCAAAAATATTCTGTAAGTAAAGTAATTTAATTACAGTACAAAGTCCGTAATCCAGATTCGTTGGGACTTCGGCGATTCCAGATTAGGGATTTTTCCATATTATAGATCATAAATTTAAATCTGGTAGGATGGCATGCAGAAATTATAAAATTAAAAATATGAAACCGTAATTCATGAAATAAAGAGCAATTATGATCTAAAGGGTATCAAAATGTACAAAAAAAGCTTAATATTTATTTGTTTACTTTAATAAACATTTCTTTCAATGTAAGTTGTTTAAGATGCTTCGTTTTTTTTGTGCAAATACTTTCTCTTTAATTCTATAAACAGATATAATTTCTTGTTCAGTTACAAAGTTCCACTGTTCAAGTCCTGCAATTGCTGTGTCAAGAATACCGACTAACTTGTCGATCGAAATTTTTTCGTTTTCAAAAACCTCTCTGTCACTTTCTTCACTATCAGAAGCGGTATTTTTTGGATCTAGAAACATATTACAGATTTCGCCGTTCGTTAATTGATTGATGATTGGGTCATTGTCGTCGCAATGGAAAACTTCTGTTATATCATCTTCATTTATTACCACTTCTCTAAATTTCTTTACAATCCAATAAATGGAAAATTTTAATTTCAAATAACTGTAAAATTAGTTTGCAACGTCCAAAAACCTTAAAATTATAAAATTGCTCTAACAGTTTGCAAAAAATACGGATACAATAAGAAGATTAAGGAACAGTGCAATCTGTAACATTAACTGAAATGCCTTAGAATCAGTAAAGATAATTTTAGCCTAGCTTATACCGTCCGTTATACATTAAATGCACATGCATAAACGCATTACGCGTATGCGTAAAGCATACCAAAAATTTTGTGGTTTTGAGGTCTGGATTATAGAACATTCCGGATAATGGACGTCCGGATTATGGACTTTGTACTGTATTAGACATATGGCCAAACAGAACTAAGAAGGCAAGAAATATCAGTTTAGTAATTTAATTATTAAGGAAAAGGTCAATTAAAGCTAGAAAAGAACCCAAAATTGCTAAAAAATTGTAAATTATGGAGCTTTCTTATTAACAATAAAAATAAAACAAGGAATTTTCTTGTTAAAAACATTTAACAATCGGTCATCTTTCAAAAATATACAGAGACATTCCCTGACAAAATCGCTTTTCAATGGTAAAATCTACGTATTAAACAACTAAAGGTGGAAAAAGCACGGCAAAAGTAAAAAAAAAAAAAAAAAAAAAACAGCAAAAGCATAAATGTGTCACAAGAAAAATTCTCGCAGTTAAATTACTCAACTTGATACTTCTTGTTTTTACTTTTGGCTTGTTTAGTTCTGTTTGGCCATATGTCTAATAATTGAATTACTTTAGTTACACAATTTTTCTGGCTTGTGATTCTTGCAAATAGAGGATGAAACATTATCCCTTTTTATTAATTATTGTTAGTTGAATGGAAGTAGGTTTGTTCCCCTTAATAACTCAATCTATTTCCGTTCAATTACAATAATTGAATTTTTTGGCTTTTTAAATTAACTTTTATTCGATTTTTACTCTTTTGCATTATTAAGGAATTAAAAAAATTTTCAAATATTTTTACTTCACTCACATTTCAGTTTAAAATTTTTATTCTATTCCTGAAAGATAATTTTCATTATTTATATATATATAATTTTATTTTACTTCTTTGTACAAAGTAAAGGAACCACTGTGATCATGAAAAATTCTGGGCATCATATTTCAATGAAAATATTCATTTTGACGGCTATCGAATGCAATTTAACCGTGTTTGGCATGACATCTGTACATAAGGACAGAACAAAGGACTCCTTCTCCCCAAATGGACTATAAAATCGATTTAAAATGGATTCAAAACCGACTTTTATGTGACATCTGTATGTACGTAAATATAACTCAAAAATGAGTAGCTTCAGAATGTTGAAATTCTGTATAGAGGACTGTTATAACATGTCGTTGTGCACCTTCCTTTTTGGTTGCAATTGGCTGCAACACAGGTCAAATTTATTACTCAGCTCTGTGAGCTCAATATTTTTTTTTTTTTTTTTTTTTTATTATTATTTTTACATGTTGCTAAATTGTGCCTTTTTTGCTTTAAAAATGATTGAATTATGTTGCTCTTATCTTCCCGTTAAGGTTTTTAGTTTATCTGCATGCAATATTTGTAGAATTATCAACAATTTAAAAGCTGTTTAAGTGCAGCTAAGCCTAATTATATATATATTAACCATAGCAACCATATTTGTTTACATTTGAAACTTAGCAGAATAGTGAATTAAGTCTTTCTGCAGCTTTGGTGTCTTTTTGCCGACTGGGCCAAAAGTAAACTTTCAGTTTCGTGCACCTAAAAAAATCTGCCTTGTAACCTGCTGGGATGAATTGCTTTGCATAGAAACTCTAATTTTTTTTTAATTGTTTTAACTGTATTTGGTATTTTGTGTTTTTTTATATTTTTCAGTTTTTAAATAAGATATTTTGAGGTTTTATGTACTTTTGCCACTCCACGAAGTAAGAACTGAATTCATTGAATGAGAAATTTATTTCTGATGAAATTCGTGGAAATAAATGTAAATGAAATGCAGCAAAAAATGTGTATAATTTAATATTCCATACAAGGAAGTCATGTAAAGTCTGCATCAGATTTTTTATTTTTTATACTTCAAATACATTTTTAACAAGTTTTACTTCCATAGTTTAAGCTCATTTTCATAGGGAATTAACTTTTAATAAGTATCCAAATTATAATAATTTTACTAATAATTTCCAAGAGGATAACTGACATTCATAATTTATAAACATAGTCTACACCTGTGATGCCCAACCTTCAACTTGATGGGAGCCAATTTAGAATTTAAATAATTTTGACGAGCCACAACGGCATATTGCAGTTTTAATATTTCAATTATAAATGAAATATAGTATGTTAAAGAAAAAGTGCCATTTATATTACTGATTAAAAATTCAATAAAAAGCAAATTTTAATGTGAAACCTGCCCCTGCACATCTCCTGGAAGTGAACTGCACTTGAAGACCTATCTTAAGAGGTTTTTGATTGGCTGTCACAAAACTGAGAAACAACCAGATGTACAGTATGAGCCACATTATGGTTTGGGCATTCCTTGTCTATATGTTCAACATGAAATACCATTGCAGATAAGCTGTTATTTAGTATATTATTCTACTTCATAATAGATTCTTCACTAGTTTCATCAAGGTAGTTCATTACAAGAAGAAGTTTAAAAATTTCTGGCATTGACTTTCATTTACTAAAAACATAAACCTCAATGACTCACATATGGCTACTCATGCATCTACAATAAATCTTAACAATATATTTTGCTGTGTAAATTTTACACACTGTATTAAAAAAAAAAAAAAAAAAAAAAAAAAGTTAGACATATGAAAATATGGTTATACAAAAAAGAAGATTTTTAAGTGTCCATATCTAAATCACTTTAATGTAAACGCTTGAACAATTACTAGCCATTTTAATCAGAAAGATTAATTGCTTCGGTACTATTCGGTTTTGAGGGCCTTAAAATATCGCCAAACTATTGTTGATGCCAATGCTGCCAAAAATAATTGCGGCAAACCTAATAATTGCGACAAGAAATGAAGTATAATAGTAAATAACTATCTAAGATTCATGTTTTAATTTAGATGAAAGGTTAATTTCATATAATACTTTTTTTATTATTATAATTTAAATGAAAAAGGCTAAACATGACTGAATGGGAGTATAAGAGTAAATAAAATTTTCAGATCATTATTATAATTTATATAAAAATTGCTGAACATAACTGAATGGATGCCTGCATCGCTTATTGAGATATCGACTAAAGCCATCAGTTTCATCTCGTTGGTTGTTCAAACATAATTTTCAGTAGTGAATGATGCATTTTCTTTGAAAAAAATTCTCGGTAAAATGCAGAATTCGTCCACTTATTTGTTTGCCGCTTTTTACAAGAGTAAAAACAATTTGGATTTTTTGTCAATTTTCTTTTAAACTTTTTAAGTGAAAAATAGGTTCGATGTCTATATAGATAAAGTCAAGGGTGTGAACGTAGTGTCATTTTTGCGCAATTCTAGGATTTTTTTTTTTAAGTGAAAATAGGTCGATATGTACATGGATACCTGAGTACGTGCAATTCTTAAAAACGCGTCAAGCAGCGGTTGATTCTGCACTTTACCCAAAATTCTATTGCCGACTTTTCGTCATAGGCAATTCCCAAATTGTTAAATCCATAGGATATCAAAAAAGGATTTAAAAATTAAACTGGTATTTCAATGGCATCTGAAGAAATATAGAAATATATAAACTTACGCAATCTTAAATCAACGCATACGCTAGATTTGGCGCGCTGTTAAATGGGTGCATTTGCTAGATTTGGCGCTTTTGCGCATACATTTTCGCTGCAATTTTTTTACGGCCCTCAAAACGGAATAGTAGCATTTTTTCCTATTAATAATAAAAAATTAACTAATGCTTATAAATCAATGTAGCATCACACTTACAGTTGCCACGAGGTTTGACAATAAATTGTCCACAGTTTCTCTTCCAAGAAGATGTTCATGAATGGCTGTCTAAAAAAAAAAAAATAATAATAATAATGCACTGTCTTTAGTTTAAAGCAAAAGTGCATTACAAACATTTAAATTTTTAAATTATTATATATACTAAATTGCACAAAAATATTTAAAAAACAGTACACTTCAATGGTAATATTTCTTTCCAATTCTAGCAGAGATTTGCCAGCTGCTGAAAGATTTAGCATGCACTTTTATACTTTTAAAGCACATATTTAAAATATGAATATAGCCTCTGAATGATACATATACTTACTATAAAATATTAGAAACTATATTCATTTAAAATATTATAAAAAAATGAACATTATATTTCCAAGATATCATATCACCTTAAAATAAAATGGCCCTGTACACATTGCTTTCCATTTCTGAAAGTGTCTTAAAAGAGACTTTAAAATTGTGTCCTATCATATAGGTGCTAGAAACTTTACAATGGTTACCCTTAAATCGAAACAGCAGCCTGTTAACAACCATTTTGCTGGGCACTGCTATACAAATAAGGGCTTCATTTGCTTTATTAGCTCAGTAGCAAACTAAACTACCCACAGAAATAACCAAACATAATGATGTTGAAAGATTTATGAAGGGTGGCATTTTGAAGTTAAAAATTCACTTTCATGTATGTGCCAACACCTTTATGAGAAACACGTGGTCTCAAACTGATGACTGTGGCCTGCGGGCCATATCTGAGCCCTAAAGCAATTTTACGTGGCTCGCAAATACATTTCGAGTATGCATTTGTTGTAAATACAGTGTTTATAATTTCAGAGACTGAGAGATATGGACTGAGCTTATATGCACAACAAATTCCTGAAGAAAAAGGAGATAAAATAAATAAGATGGGGGTTTGTCACTGCATAATAGAACACATGACTGAAGTAAAATGGGAGAACTTCCCATGTCGATGCAATCAGTAAATTTAGCTTACCACCTCATGGTTTGTGGTACTTCAATATTAAGGTGTTTTCAGTTTCTTCTATTTAGTACTTCTGATATATACTTTCCTTCAGTCAGTCATTAGCTGAATACATATTTGTACTGTTCATACTGCTATACAGATAAAACTAATGTACAGCTTAAATTCTGTTTATTTTTCATTATTCTTAGATATATCAATACCTATAATTTAGAGTTGTGGATAACTTCTGAGTATTTTGCTTGTATGTATGTGTGTGTATATATATATATGTTACCATGACAGACCAAAATTAGAAAATGTCAGTATACTCTGGTGAATGCTGACACATACCAAATACATCAATAAAAGATTGAATATTTGGTTATGTTCTTAATGTACATTTGGTCCACTGCTGGTATATGTTGCCATGTACAGATCAGCTTTGCTGGAAGTCTAAACAATAAGTGAATTTGTTAAATCCTTTTTCCTGCTGTGACTGAGGTTGCAAAGCATCTACTTGTTACACTCTTGAACACTGCTGTTTTGCGAGTCTCATCCAAAGTTTGCTGGTGCATGCAACATTTGCTTAATTTAAATTTTTTTATGATACCTTAATTCATATTGAATGGCTACTGCAGGGAAAACCTTTTTTTTTTTTTTTTAGTTGTATGCATTAATTGCAAATAAATGAGAATGTAATTGTTTAAATTTTTTTTTTTTTTCTTCAAGAAAAGTACTCTAAAATACTTTCTGAAGCGATTTTGCTAAAGCTAAGTACAGTGCACTTTCAGGTTACAGACAATTAAAAAATTTTAAAAAATAATGTAGAGAAGTTAATTGTGCATTATAATCAGGAGAAAGAAAACAGACAGTATTATGTAACCAATAATAAATTATTCAGTATATTATCCACAACTCATATCACAAAAGACCACGAAGGAGTACATATCCTTAAAGAATTGCAAGTTAAAAACAAAAATACCGCATTATGAAGTTGCGATGCTGTACCTAAATTTATGTAAATAATGTAAAATGAGACATAATGCGCCTAAAAAAGGTTAAATTCAAGATATCAAGTCGAAATGGTAGACCTGCAATCACACAGGAATGGCAAAATATAAGTTCATAACGATATATCACAACCCTTTAACAAAGTTTGTCCAGTTACAATATTTACCCAACAAAACATTTAGCTGACAGGAAATTTAACTAACAAGACATTTAACTGACAATGTGCACATATAGACAAAAAAATATGAGACAGTGTTTTAATAAAATTTATTCATATTTATCTGAAAAAAGGGCTGTTTCTAGGTACCTAATGATATTAAGGAAAGATACCAGAATGAATTGAAAACGAAACTGAAAAACATTAAATTGGACGAATTGGAAAATATTGATGAGAAATGGAATTCACTAAAATTAGCTATTATGGAAACTAACAACTCTGTCATAAGAAAAGTTAAAAAGAAAAAATGTAATGATTAGTTTTGACCTGGAGTGCAGAGCTACTGAACTTAAAAATGAGGCATATACGAATATGATACAAAGAAAACATACTAGGATAGCCATTAACAAATACAAATGTACCAGAAAAAAGGATCTACTGTATTATGAAGTCGAACTTTCATGAAAATTTCTTAAAGGATGTTGAATATCTTAGGGAAGGAGGCATCAGCTTAATTGTGGATAAAGAAATTTCAAGCCAAGAACTACACTGTGCAGAGGGAAAGATGGCAATATTTTAAATGCAAAAAGGGGCATTCTTCAAAGATGGAGGGAGCTGCTGAATTCTGACCTGCCTTAAGAAGTTAGAGGATCAATAATCAGAAATTTAGAGCCTATTGATCTCTCAGTAATAGAAGTGAATAAAACTAAAAAACATGAAAAAACTGAAAAACAATGAATCTCTTAGACCTGATAATATACTGTCAAAATGTTTTAAAGTTGTGGGACCTAACTGTGTACAGCTTATAAAGGAATTAATTCAACATATTTGGGAGAGTGAGACACTCCCATTGGAATGGAAACTTAGTACCATTTGCATGACACACAAAAAAGGTGACATGGTAGACTGTAGTAATTATAGAGGAATCAGTCCTCTTTGCACATCCTCTAAAATTTGTCTACTATTCCTTTTTGGCAGACTTTTGCCCTTTGTTGATAATTTGATAGGCAACTATCAATATGGATTTAGGAGATGAAGATCTACAACTGACCAAATTTTCAACTTAAAACAGATCCTTGAAAAATGTAGAGAATTTGGAATTGAGACTCACAATCTTTTTATCGATTTTAGAACAGCATATGATTATATTAACAGAGAACTTCTCATAAAAGCTATGAATTGAAAATTCCAGAAAAACTTGTTGCACTTACAGCCTTGACTCTCAAAGAAACCATAATTCAAGTACACATATAGGGTGATTACACAGAACAGCTTGAGGTGAACAGCTTGAGAAAATGGAGTGCAACAGAAGAATGCATTAGCATGTCTCCTGTTTAATACAGCACTCTAAAAAGTAATTAGAGACTCAAAGATCAATATTAGAGGAAATATTTTTACTCAGTTCAAATATTGGCTTGTGCTGATGACATTGGCATTATTGCCCAAACCGCACCGGTTTCCAAACAGGCATTTATGGCATTGAAACAAAGTGCTAAAAGAATTAATTTATTTGTAAACAAAAATAAAACTAAATATTTACCTTGCTTAAAGTCTGATTTACAACTTAGTCACTTAAAAACTGGCAATTATAAATTTGAAAAGTGAACATTTTACTCATTTGGGAACTGAGATAACTAATAAAAATTTGTCGGTCCCAAAAATACAAGGTGTGGCACAGACACACACACACAATAAAAATAATAATAAAAAAAAAAAAAAAAAAAGATTGATCCAATAAATCATTGTATTTACAGAATCAGTACTCCATGACATTATCATCTTCAAAGTAGTTCCCTTCAGCATTCACACACTTCTGAATTCAGTGCTGTCATTGCTGGTAACAGTTTTGGAAGGCCCTTCAGGAGATTCTCCGTTTTTGCCTGAACTTCTTCAGCTGAGGTAAAATGGGTTCTCTTTAAGTAAGATTTAACTTTAAAAAATAAAAAAAAAATTGCATGGAGCCAAATCAGGTGAATAAGGAGGATGCCCCATCACAGTAATGTTTTTGTTGGTCAGAAACTGCTTGACAGATAGGGCTGTGTGAGCAGGTGCATTGTCCTGGTGCAACAGCCATCCATCACTCCACAACTATGGCCTTTTTTCCCCATAATTTTTTCCTGAAGTCTTTTTTAGTACTTCAATGCAGTAGTGTTGATTAACAGTCTGACCACTGGGAACCCATTCAATCCCGAGCACGTTCATCATCTTCCACACTGACCCTTCCCCCTGAAAACCGCTTATGCCATTCAAACACCATGCATGAGACAAAGTTTCATTTCTATAAGCTTCGGTTAACATTTGAAATGTTCCTCCTGTGGCTGATTTCTTAAGTTTCACAAGAAACTTCATGTTGATTCGCTGTTTGGCTTTTACATCAGAGATTTTTCCGACAGAATGCAGTTGCACATGTTCACTCAATGGCGCAGTATTCCTCCCTGGCATGATTGGTTAAATCAAAACTGGCCGCATGGATAGAGGAGGTGTGTGGCATAACGTCACCAAAATAATTGTTGCCAACTCCCCTCTGCTTTCAAGCTACATACTTAGTCTCATTTTTTTTTTTTTTTTTCTTTTTTGGTCACACCTCGTATATAAAAGAATTGTTGCCGCAAATAGAAGTTTTTATGCCCGGAAGAATTATTTAAAATCCAGCTTTCTTAAATTAAGAACTAAATTGCTTCTTTACGAAAGTCTCATAAGGTCTGTCTTGACTAATGTATCAGAGACTTGGGAATTGACTTTATGTGATGAGGAAGCTCTGGGAATTTTTGAGCGAAAGATCTTACGTTGCATTCTTGGTGGGGTTAAAGTGAATGGATCATGGAGAAGAAGATCTAATTTAGAACTCTATAAAATTTATAAACGTGATAATGTAAAATTCGTCAAATTACAGAGGTTTAAATGCACTGGCCATCTGACTAGAATGAATGAAGATCGTTGCTGCAAGAAAATCTTTCTGGCAAAGCCCATAGGAAATCGACCTCAGGGCAGACCCCGCTAAGATGGATTGATTGTATCGAGAAAGATCTTGATACTTATATCTAAGATCTAAGATATCTAAGATATAAGATCTTGATACTTGATCTTGATACAAGGTTAAAAACTGGAAAACAGTTGCCAAAAGTACAGATGTCTGGAAAAGACTTCTGGAGAAGGCCAGGGCCCATTGAAGAAAAAGTAAATATCCATGTCAGTTAAATACCCTGTCGGCTAAATGTCCGTGTTGATTAAATGTCCTGTTGGCTAAATGTTCATGTCAGTTAAATGTCCTGTTGGTTAAATATCAGTGTCGGTTAAATATCCTGTTGGCTAAATGTCAGTTAAGTGTCCGTGTCAGCTAATTGTCCATATTGGCTAAATGTACGTGTTTGTAAATGTCCTGCTGGCTAAGCGTCATGGGCCTGTGATTATATATACACACATATAAACATCTACATACATTTGTGTTTGCTTATTTCTCTCTAATTCTGTTAAAACAAAATTCCAATTTATCATCTGTATTCAGATCATGCAGTTGTCCTGCCTGGAAATTCAGTTTGAGACCAGTCAGCTTAATTATCACAATGAAAAACACTGACTGATTTGCACAGCACCTTTGAGTGTACCTTTATAGCATGACAAAGACACATTTATGAAGGCAATTCCTTTTAAATGAAAAAAAAAAAAAAAGGCATCATAATATGACTTTGATGGTATTCCACAAGAAAACTAATGAAATGATGAAAATGAGATATTCTGAGGTAAAACTAAATAAAGATATTTTCTTTTAAAATAAAAGTTAAGTAATGAGATGTAAATTAGTATATTTTTAAATACTAAAACTATTTATGTAAGATAGGTGTGATTTTCCAGGATGACACTTTAAGGGAAAAAGAAGTAATCACAGATTTATTCACTGAGAATACATGTATTTAAAAGTTACAAAGAATGCTTGAAACATAGAATAAAAATCAACCATACATGTATTTAATTTTTGCTTCTTTCAATGAACTGAACAAAATAATACCTGATTAATATGAAGTACTTGTTTCAACTGCTCCAGTGCATGCAGTCGCACTTCTAAATTTTCATGACTGATACCTCTCAGAGAGTGGCACAATAAAGAATAAAAATCAGTAATGCTGTAAATTAAAAGATTGCGGTTGATTTTAAATATTCTATGCTGATTTGAAAAATAAATCTTATTTTGAATTAATAAAAGAGAACAAAAGGAATGATATCCTAGAACTGAAAAATGCTTACCTAGAAGGATTTTCATTATAGTTCTTCAGAACAGCATTAATTTCTTGTAATTCGGGTGTTTGAGGTACAAAATACAGATCATGGAAAAACTCACTCAGATACGATCTATTTCCAAAACAAAAACTTTCAAATGGAATTTCTCATGGGAAATGGAGAAAAGAAAAAATATACAGTTTTAATTTTACATAGAATATACCAAAATAAAGCAATGCATTGTAAATTTCTTCATGAAGACAAATGGGAAAATATACAACTTAAATAAATGAGTCAAAGATATTTAAAAAAAAAAATATATTACTTGTTGTACATATTAGCAAATAATAATCAGTAATTCTCACATGTTTTTGTACAATACCATACCTGCCAACCTCTAAAGATAAAAATCAGAGATTTCTCCAAATTCAGAACCGAAGAATTAATATCATGCTTTGAATTAAAAAATACAATTTATACAAATAGCAAGGAAAATGTACTTACATTAGTAAATCTCAATTAAGTATACTAAAATTTATTAGGAAACATAAAACAAGAACTTAACTAAGACAGAACTTAATGTTACACAAAACATTATTGCAATGAATTTAGAGTGCTTTTTGGCTTTAGCCAAAAATTCTTTGGAAAATTTCTGTCAATAACAATTAGTTTCTCCTCATAACATTTAGCAATTAAAATGTTTTCTAGAGTTTTTGTTAAAATTGAAGAACGAAGCATAGTTTTGTTTTTCTTCACAACACTGAAGACTCTCTAGCACTTAGCATTACTGTATGAAATTACGAGAGTAGCACATAAAACTCTTGCTAGCCTATCATATTTTGGTGTTCCATCAGCTCTTTTTATTCTTTTTAAGGTACCAACGAGGACATTAAGTCTATCTTCTCCAGAACTGGCAAAGTCTTCAAACTGTGCAGCAGAAAATTGGTTCTGTAGTTCATCTAAAGCATCATTATGGCATTCATTTTCTTTAATTGTTAACAGAAATGGAAATTTATCAATAAAAAACGAATCTTTTCAAAAGATGAATTTTCAATTTGTTTCAAATTTGCCACTTCAGCATTTTAAAAGAACTTCATTTTTGCAAAGGAAACTTCCTTACAATGTAATCACAGGCTGAGGAAAAGTACTTTCTAACACATTGAAAAAATTCTTTTTTCTCATGATCTTTCAAAGAATTTACAAGTTCCCTGGTTTGATTTCCAATTATAAGATCATTGCCATTCCGTTTGATTTGCCAAACTATTATAGGCAACATGAATCAACAACACATGTTTTTCACAACGGACGGCTTTACAAACTTAGTTATAAAGTTCTTTCAAAAGATCATTAAGAATTTGGATACAGCAGGGCAGATTTTGGCGAAGCTGATTGTAGAAGGGTATTTAACACTTTCAAAAATCTTAATGGTACTTAACACAAAACTGCAATATGCTTTGTTCAAATCCGAAGAAAGAAGATAGAAAATCCTTTCCTCCCGGCTAATAGAAGACTGTTTTTCTTCTTCCCTTCAACTTCTTTAACAAAGTTGACCTTTGGGGAGTCTTCTAAGCATTTTCTTTTTAAAGGGTTTGATTCTGTGTTTTGGCTTTTCCCTTTTAAAGCATTTTGATTAGAAGCAAAGTTGGTTTTCGGAATCTTATATGCCGACAATTTTGATGGGATCTGTGGTTTTGTTTTGGTCTCTTCGTGGAAATATTTTAGCAATTCATCCCACTGTTCAATAAACCTTCCTAGCGCTCTGCCTAAGGATAACCATCTCGTGCATAGATGTTTCAGAATTTTTTCTCGTTTCACCAGAGCACAGTTCTTGGAAATTCTTTAGGTTTTCTTTCCTTTTTACACTTTTTTCAGATAGAAAAACACATCAATCAGAAGCTGGTCATTATTTAATGGTAAAGCAGCTGCAGCTTTTTCTGCTGCCAAATTAATTAAGTGGCATGGGCATCCAATAACAATTAATTCATTTTGTTCTTTTTTGACGAAAGAGGCTACACCCTTTTTGTCACCCACCATGACATGAGCATTATCTGCACCAAATGAAATGCAGTTTGATATTGGGATGTTAAGTTGTTTCAACTCATTAATTACCAAGGAGGCAATATTTTCCCCCATAGCATTTCCATTTAACAATGGAAGACGCAAAAGATGAGTTTTCATTTCATTAGAAAAATCACAGAAATATGTGACAACGATGGGGTAAAGCTTCCAATCGCTGTTGTTGCTGCCATCGATTGACACCGAAAATGCTGAATTCTGGAGTGCAGCGATCGTTTTACTTTGTGCATCGCAAGCAATTTCATTCACAATAAAAGATGTTTTCGTGCGAGCACAAGCATATTTCTGAGCAATCTTGGAGTCGGGAAACATCCGTCTGAAAAGTTGACCGGCGTGATCAGCAGCACTTAGCGGCACGTTGTGTTCGATGAGGAATGCAGTAAACAAATACTCTGCCAAAATGACACCGGCATCCGAATTCGTAGCCGAATTTGAAAAAAAATCATCCACTTTCTTGGTTTAATCCTAGCATCCGGTGCACACGGTATTTGGCTACTTTTGGGGACTTTATGATGAGCAGTAAAAACAGGACATATACAATTAGTAAACGGGTCATTCAAAGAATATATATAGTATATACTATGTATATAGTGATAGTATATACATAGACGTTCTTTGGGTCCTTTTTGGTGTTGGCGATAATTTTCAAAATCATGCCAAAGCTGCACCGTATACTAGGATTTTACCACTTTCTTTGATGTTGTCGAAGCCGAAGCATTAACTTCATGCTTTTTAGACTTAACATGTTTCACAATGTCGCTTCTTCCACCGTGACTTATTATGAAGTCACAGACGCACATGTTGCAAAATGCATAGTTATTTCCTTTGAAGGATTCTTTAATTGTTGGAAATTCGGCTTTGTAGGCTGGCTGAAAATATTGAGAATACGGTTTTTTTTAACTCATTTCGTAACAACGACGTATTAAGAATATTCGTAGCACGTGCAAAAAAAAAAAAAAAAAAAAAAAAATGCGACAAACCACGCTCGCTGAGTAATTCCCTTGCTGCTGAAGCGAACGCGAAAAAAATAATCTGTTGCCCACAAAGAAAAGAGTGGGAGAAACAAGTTCAGCGCATTGGATTGGCTGGTGGAGTGGTGGCGAGTTGGGAGAAAAAAGTGGTGGCGAGTTGGTGAAAACGCAGGTTACTGGATTCGAAGTAGTCAGTAGTTGGCGGTAAAACACGATGCAATTGGCAAGAATCGCTGAATTGGCAAAAAATTCTAAAATTTCAACAAAAATCACTAAAAACACTTGAAAAAGGAAAAAAATCGTAAAAAATGGATTACGATCGTAAAATCGTAAAGACAAACGCATTTTCGTAAAAATTACGAAAAATTGGTAAAAGTTGGCAGGTATGCAATACTAAAACATGGTTAAAATTCACTCCCTGCATATGTAAAACATACAAGAAAAATCTTACAGTTTCGAACAAGTGAACTGGTTGTAAATCAAGGCATCACAAATTAGGGTATTACTATACTTTGTCTAAAGTATAATTAATAAGAAGATACACATTTAAGAAGTATTGTATATCTAAGTTAATTAAGAAGTATACCTGTTTTTTAAAGTTTCACATCTAATATTATCAGGACTTGTGTTCCTCTTTACTTGCTTTGGAAACATGAACTGTCCTGACTCGGAACAGGGAACTTACTCAAGCTATGTTCAATAAATTGTGAAGTAGACAATACACACAGGAAGGGTATACGAAACCCTTTATTTTTCTATCTTTACAGAGATTTCCGGAACTTTGGAATACAGAGACCAACCACTTGTGGTCTGAACGTAAGAATATAAAACTACTAACTAAAACTAACTTTGGATTAATATACAAGTGCCTAACTTTAAGATTGGCCATTATTTAACTAAATCTGTATGTAGTACAGAGAGCTGCTGAAACTACGATACGTTTGAAATTATCAAGAGGACTAAACCTCTGGCCTTGAAGGCAACCAGCAACCGAGTAAAACTACTATGGCAAGCGGCCTGCTTCTAATAACTTCTTCCTCTCTCTTGCTTGGCAAAAAGCCACAACTTAAGTACTTGGCGTTAGCAAGACAAATTTGCATAAACAAGTTAAAGCTTTAATTCTGGCCGGAAGTAGAAAATAAGAAGTGATAGTAAAGATTTAAAATAAAATAAACGTTAGTAAAACTTAGGATCCTTACAATATATAATATTAATGATAACTAACAAATTCAAATTAAAAAATAAAATACTTCTTTCCTTTCCTCATACCTTTTTTCTATGATGAGAAAATGAAAAATTTCTGAAACAGCAACTGGTTCCACTTCCAGGAGAGGGAGAAGTGCAACAATAATTTGGTTTAGAAGAGGTCCCAGACAAGAAATTTCAATGCTAAATAATAATAATAAAATATTTAGGAATATATATATATATATCTATATATATATGAAAAATATAATAGAAGCTGTTAAAAAATAAAAGGTGATTTTCTTTCTACTTCAATGAATATTGCGTTTTCAGATTACAAATTTCATAACAAAATCAACAAATCAATACTCCATGCAAATACAGTTTTAAAAAAGCATAGTCTTATGAATAATAATATGTCATTCAATGAAATGGAAAAGTATCATAAAATTAAAGAAATAAAATAATAAATGCTCTGAAATATGAGCAGTAAGAAAGCATACTATAAGAATGAAACATATTTTTTGAGCTTAACCTGTGAACAAAGGTATTCCATGCCTTGCAACATATTTTGGGAAAGCCATCATGTTTAAAACGCAGAGCAATACGAAGAGTCGCCATGAGCTTAAATCGAACAGCTGTGACAGCACGAGGGCCCATTAGTTCCATTACAGATACTAAACTCTCAAGTGCCTAAAATTTTAAAAATCAGGCGATATTAATTAAATAATCATAAGATTACCTATATTAAATTGAGTCACTTATTTTGAATCAAATTCAATTGCTACTGATTTCAGCTACTGCTATTTAATTCAAAAACAAGGTATCAAATCATGGTCATAACTAGAAGACAGGAGGGCCAACAACAGCTGATAATGGGGTCCCCCTCTTTGTTTCTCTCAAATTTAAACACCCCTTTTTTCATAATTACGGTTGATAATTTTCATAATTACAGTAGTATACACTTTAACCAAATGAAAAAAATTTTTTTTGATTAACGTCTCACTGATGTGCACTACTATATGTTATTTTCAATCCCTCTTTAATTCTGTTAGATAAAGAATAACATAATATCCGAAGCCAAATGTAATATGTAACATATGCAACATAAGTAAAGTAAAATGACCACCAAATTGTTCAGGCTATTTTATTTTCATGAAGTATGAAAGTTCCTGCTTTCTAATTGTTAAGGAAGTAAACTCCATCATTTTATCTAAGTTATTGTTCTTGCGCTCGGTTATTCTTAACTGAGAACAAAGCTAAACTTGCCAGCCTTTTCTGTCCCATAACTACAGTCACAGAAACCATTAAATACATAATGCATCAGGGAAACTCCATGAAAGTGAACTGTGATTTATGATTAGCAGTCCTGCTAATCCATTTGACACTATTACTTTTTCAAACTCCTCTTTAAATGACACTTTAATTAAAGATAATTGGGATGAAAATGTTGATCACACATTCTCTGGAAACTTTCACATTAAATCAACTGCTTTGTCATGAATCCCTTTTCACTTGCTTTCATAAAAAATTGAAGTTGAACGACTTGGTAATCATCAAGAACATTCCTCATACCTTGAAAATGATGAAGAAGCTGCATGCATTAAGAATCTATCATTGAGTACAACACGGTTACCTTAAAATAAGATTCTCAGTCTTAATCTCTAAAATAATCACTTATCTTTGCATAATTCATGACAATGTCAGTGGCTATGCAGTGTGCTATCAACTTAATGTTTAAATATTTATAGATATTTTATTAACAGTTTCTAATAATTATGTGAATATTTTAATTAGGTATCTCAGAGTATTTACAAAAGAAATAAAACATGCAGCAATACTTACTTCCTCATATTTTAAAACAATTCAGATCGCTTTTGAAGCCTAAATCTGTACGATGCTAAACAGGCCGGTGGACCAAACGGCTATACAGGCACCCTTTTCCATTTTCCTAACTTTGTTCCAGCAAAATTCTTTAATTATTTCCCAAGATTAAAAAATCTCCAAATTCTCTTCAGATTTCGATAATTTTAAATAGGGCATTTTCCAGTAATCCACACATTGATAATAGATCTAGAGTTACAAAGACTTTTAAACTATGTTTAGTAATCCTAACACTTTGCATTGTAAAATTAAGAGTAGGAGAAATTCAAATGCTTTGAGTTTGCCTCCTTTTATTCTTTTCCTTGCTTTTTTGGCTAGTCAGAATTATGCAGTTGAGGCATTTCATCATATCACAAAACCTAAGCTTTAAGGCAGTGGTCTCAAACTTAGATTGAATGTCGTCTGAATGCACAATCAGAAAATAGCTGATATGCCAGAATTTTTTTTTTAAACAAAATTTAAAAAATTTCCTCCACAGAATAAAAATATTTTAAATGTCCCTTACTAAATATTTATTAAACATACATAAATAATAATAATAGTGCAAAGGAAAAATTCAAATTTATGCTTATTTTCCAACTAAAACCTAAGTTTGACACCTCCACAATTTTTTTTTTTTTTGGTTACACTTGGCAATTTCAGCACACTGAGAGCTAAATATTAAATTTTCAGGCAGATATTTCAAATAATTCTAATATGTATAACCATTAAATAACTTAGTTTAAATTAAACTAAAAATAAACAAATTCTGGAAAAGTTACAGAAGCAACAACCTTGTCTTTGGCGTAGATGTAGTCAACAACTCATTTGATTCCAAGGGCACCGGATACTGGTCCTCTTAATCAACAGCAAAGAAATCTGACTTCAAGTCCCCACTAAATCTATACCAAACATAAGCTGCTGCTTTGCTAATTTTATGTTTCACTTTGGTGTATTTCTCATCTATTTTGAAATTATGAAAACTTTTCAAATAGGACAAAACTTGAGAATAAATAATAAAAAATTAAGTTTCTTTCTCTAATACATTACATTTTTCTTCAACACATAAAGTTTGAAGCCTTAGAGAAAAAAATAGCTAGAAATTATCTTAATAATATATTACATTAAATGCTCTTGGTTAATTGGGTTCCTTTCTTATTAATTTTCAATTGTGAAAAAAAAAATCTGTTCACATATAAGTATATTCCCCTATCCTCCCCCAAAAAAGAATTACACTTAATACAAAAATTCCTAACTCAGAATATTTATTTTCTGACATGTATGAATCAAAGTTAATCAAATCTGTATTTTCAAATCTTTGAATAAGATTTACATCATACAGTAAATTGTTTAGTTCCATGTATAGATTTTCTGGTGCATTATTCACGTTCATTTTTAATTGTTTTTTATCATTCACTATTTTCATATATCTGTAAACTTCACTCAGTTAGGAGAGATATTTTGAGTTGTATACAGAATTAAAGAAAGAAAAAAGGGACATTATGAATTTCCTCAGTGATATCATCTTAAGCACTCTGACTGCTCAATTTGTTATCAAAAATCACTTCAAAAACTGCATTTTTTTTTAATTACATATTTCAAATCAAATGTATTTGAGAGTTAAAATATATGTGGCAAATTTTTACAAGTAGGTCAGAATAGAAGGAGAGAGGGTTGAACTGAAGTGAATTCTTGGTGGCCATATTCCTCCCAATACTATGACTCATCATAACATTTATTTTTGAAGTATGGGGATATTGTTTCGCATATGGATGCATGAATACAACATCTAAAAAGATTCCTGGGATTACTTTTCATAAAACTTAGGAAAGATGTTTAAAATGTCACTATGTCATGCATTTTGTATTCCAGATGTACAAAAATGACTTAATAGTAATCAAATCATATTAACCATAATTACATAAACATATTTTTCTGTTTATAATTAATAATATTGCTCCTTAACATACAACGATATAGGATAAGATTTAAACTGTGCTATGTGAATACTTTAAAGAATTTTTTGATTATCTTCATGACAAGTAAAACTGAAGAATTGTTGTTTATTATTAATTAATTAAAGAAATTGGCTTTTACTACTTTTATGAACTGTAAAACTACTAAACATAATAACTTTTCTTTTTATGTAGTGTTCATAATGCATTTTTATGTATTGTTATGAATGTAATTTGTATATGTATTTAATTGAATTTGAATTTAATTTCTATAGTTGAAATTCATAAATAAGAAACAAGGCTAGAATAAAATCCTTAAATTTACATAAATCTATTTTATTTTGTTATAATAGTTATAACTTTACAGAGTCTGGTATTCTTTGGTAGCATAAACTAAGTCCAAAGTCCTAACAGATTTGAGTGAATTATTGCTGTGTCTGGAAAAAAAAAAAAAAAAAAAAAAAAAAAAACTACAAGGCTTTTCAACAAACCTTTTTATTAAATTAGAACTTGAATATAAAATGCACTTCTCAGCTTACAACTCGGCCACCACTTGCGGTGATGAAGTTTAAAGTAAAAGTCAATTTCAAGATTTAAATTTAAGTGATAACAATTGATTTAATCTGAAGTTGGTTCAAAACTTCTCAATGGCGTAACAACTGAAAATGATAGCAGCTATAACGCAAAGTTGAATAATACAATCTTATCTCAGCTAGCAGAAACATGCTATGTCTTCTGATTCAAAATACCTCAGCTGAAATATTCTTAAACCTGATCTGCATTTCAGGAGGGAAACAAAAAGGAGAAGTGACAGTAAACACCTAAATCATACTAACTGATTAGACTAATAATAAATCTAGCTTCAAAATAATTAAAAAAACTGTTGGTATCAGAAGCATTATCAAGTACATACATTCTATCACTTGCTGAACTCAGCGAGCCATGTTCTGAATATAAAAAATTAAAACAACAAAAACAGGAATGCGTATAAAATCAGATAGTGAACTCTATGCAAATATGAAAATTTGAGGATAATAATGTCTACATACTTTAAAAACTTACTGATGATATGTTATTTATATAAATATTTTAAAATATGTCAATTTCAGCTTGAGTAGCTCAAAGCTGAAATTCATGTATAAACTATAAAGCATACTGAACTAGAAAGCTAATATAATAGAACTATAAAGCATGCTGGAAAAAAAAAATGACTTTCCTATTCCTGAAACATTTTTATATGAAATGCTTCTTTATTAAATAGATAATATTATGAATAAATCAGAACTATTTATTTTTAATGGAAAATTGATAACAGCTATACATATGCATTTAAATTTCATAGTATTTCTTAATAACGTCCTATATATGGTAAATTATAGATATCATACTATGAAATATGATGATATCTATAACTTACCATATATAGAATTACTATGAAATAAAAATTCAACAACCGAGATGAATTTTATTGTAAATTTAATGCATACGTGTATGGAACATGCTAGATACAAATACATTTCATTTAGATCTCATAAACATGGCTGCCACTTGTTAGGCAAGTTCTATTTTCAGATAGTGGAGGAAACTACCAACCCTCCTTCTTTCTATTTTAACCTCCTTGCACTTTTGTAGCCAAGATTTTCTTTTAATCTAGATTTTGTGCATAAGATGATATTTTTGTAATGATTCTTATATAAGGAGAAAAATTCTGAAAATAAATCTTAATTAATGGTTTACTTTATAGAACACACATGTAAAGTATGTATATTATTAAAAGGTGTTCAATATTTACACAAATTACACTAGAAAATAAGTTTAGTGTGGTAAATTTCAAAACGAATTTCCACACAAAATCTTCACATTCACTGCACCAAA